TAGGCCCTGATTTTTACAAATTTGCCCTTACTTTTAAATATAATGTTTGTAACAGGGAGTCCTAGACCTGGATGAGGCGATTTCTCCAAAGTGTGGACTTCTTTTTCCTTGTTGGACTGTAATACTTCAGGTAAATGATAAATAATTAATAAGTATTTAAAATATTTTCTTCTTGTGGTTTTTATTTTAATTTTATGGGATTTGATTATAAAATTGTTACAGGGTGGATACGAAGTTTTGTAGCAGATTACTGGATATGCATATCATCGTTAGTAGATTACATACTAATTATTAAAGAGGTGTGATTACCGATTAATAAATAAATATTTCCAGGATTTGGTGCTGCAATTGCATCGATGCTAATGGGTGCATTGATCTTGGTGGCCTTTTAAGGGTTACAGCAAGTTATGGAACAAAAGGTATGCTACTTTTTGTTATGATACTTGTAGTTGTTTAATGAATTTTGTTATATTAAAACTTAGGGGCTGTTTCTGTTTGACTTAATATGGACAAAATGGCCTCATGTGTTAAGCCAAGTTAATGTATTAAGACACCAACCCCTTTAACCTTCTTTTTTCCACCCTCACATGTGAAATTTGTTTTTTCGTATGTAAGGGTAAAACAGAAAAGAAATGGACTTTATGTATCCAAACATACATCATCATCCATTCAGTCTGATGATTTTTCTTATAGTTATTTAGATTCCAATGTTGTTTTTATGATTTGAAAAGTCAATTGTCATCAGTATCGCTCTCTGTTGGATCGGATGGACAACCGAATATCATCAAGGAGTGGCAGATTGAGGAAAGGCAGCTGAGATTTGCATCAATGGTCTGAAACAGTTGATCTAATATATCCAAAATTTCATTAACAACAAGTTATAATTAAAAATAATATATTTGGCCCCTGAGCTTTCAATTTTGATATTTGCTTGTGGTTCTTACTGTTCCAAGTAAATGAGTATCTTTGGCCCCTGAAACCGTTTTTTTTTCTTAGAGTAAATTAAATTTTTGGTTCCTGAGCTTTCGGTTTTGGTCTTTGCTTGTGGTGCTTACTGTTCTAAGTAAATGACTATCTTTGGCCCCTGCGAGTAGCTGAATTTTGTATATTTGGTCCTAGAAAGTCATTTTACTTGAAACATGTATGGACCAAAATTCTAATAGAACTTTTTGGGAATTAAAAAAAAATCAGCAATTTACTCTTTTAGTTAATAAATTCCAAGCAAGCATACACTTGTTGATGTAATAATTGTTGTTGCATTTGTAATTTTGCATTGTAGGTATATTTGGGTGAGCAGTATGTGAACAACCCTACACTTTCTGATGTAACTTTAATGATTGAAGGTACACATATGATATATGATATGTTTTTTAAAAAAGTAAAAATTAAGTAACGGATGTGGCTGGCAGTTTATTTATTTGGTATGATATTAGGCAAAAGGTTTTATGCTCACATAATCTGCCTGCTTGCTTCTTCTGATGCTTTTCGGGAAATGTTTGATGGTGGTTATAGGGTTAGTATCAAACAAGAAACATATAGTATCATATGTGTTTATGAATGATGATGATGAATGTGGCGGTTTGGTTGCATTCTAGGAGAGAGATGCAAAAGATATTGGGAGACATTTGAGAAAATGATTAGGTGCATTTACACTGGATCAGTGGAAGTGGATTTAAGAATAGCGCAGGATCTCCTTAGAGCTGCTGACCAATATCTTCTAGATGGTGTTAGTGAACAAAAACTTTTTAGGAGCAAAATTTCAAAAATAAACTATACTCAAGAGACCTAAAATGTAATTCACTCTAAGTTTAAAGATATTAGAATTAGTTTTAAGTATGATTTTCATTAATCAGATGATAGATTTTCAAGACGTTTCATTGCAGCCATTGTAAGTGTGTAAGTGTGTAATGTCTTAGTTTTAAGTATGATTTTCATTAATCAGGTGATGGAAAAAGTACATCCAGGTACTAGTAAGTGTGTAATGTATTATGTAATTCGAGTTCACAGCCTTAAGGCAATCAACCTTAAGACACACGATTGAGAATGAATGGCATATTTGATGAAGAGAAACATGCCATTCAATTCACCTAAAACTTCATTGCTTTGTACAAAATCGGACGTGCAGGTGGTGGTGGTATCAGGTTTATCTGAATCATTGATTTTCATAAAAATAAAATAGAAAATCACCATGTGTGTACTTGGGGATATAAAAGGAGATAAATAAACAAGGGCACATTTGTAAAAAGTTAATACTTATATTAATACTCTCTCTTGTCTCTGCTTGGCTTACAATCTTGTATTTTGAAATGTAGCAAGGGACACAAGAAAGAGATCATTCTTCAGAAAGGATTGGTATGTTCTCACAAAAGGTATGGAATTGTAGAAGGGTGAATCTGAGGGTGCATAGTGTAGTGAAGAAAGCACATCTTGGCCTTGTTACAGCCCTAGCCTTCTCATAGGATTCAAGGTTCCCTCTCTTTCTTTCTTTATAAATTCTTTAATTCAGACTTCATACCTTTGACCTTTCCATACCCGTATTCTTTTTTATATAAGAAAGCTTGTTGTTTTTTTGTAATACAGAGCCCTGGTGTTTGCATCTCTTGATTCAAGTGCAAGGGTCACACAAATCAAAGAAACCAAAAACAATGGTATATCACTTTTTTTCTCCTCACTCACATCATCATATAAATACGTGTACTTTCTATTGGATTTTTGTAGCTTGCTTCAAGTGTTACAGAAGAGAAAACAAACACTGATAAGAACATGTCAACCATGTTTGATGTGTTAAGAAGGAACAGAACTGTAAAGCTTGAAACTTTAGTCCTGAAATGTAAACCCTGGTAACTTCCCAATTCATACATATATATATTTTCTATGTACCATTTCTTGTCGTTTTCCTCCTTGACCAGGTAATATGATTAATTTGTTTCTTTCTACTTAGTATTTCTTACTGGTTGTGAACAAGCCTCTCATCTCACATTTGAGTTTATAGGAATCAAAAATCACTGTGAAACTTCTAGTGTTTAGATTTCTTAGTGGTTGTGAACATTTGTTTCTTCCCTTTCTACCCTTCACTTGCAGGTTGATGATTTGTCAAGAACGTTCAGACTATTTTCCAAAAATACCCCATGGATTGGATCCTGTCTATAGTATGTTTAAACAAGTTTGTGATTTAGGAGTTGGATTCTATTTTTTTTAAGTAGAATGTAGTTATTTGTATTTGTTGTCATCTGGTTTTATCTTTTTGACGCAATCCAGCATGTTGCTGCTGAAGGAACAACCTTGGTCAAACAGCCAAAAGATGCTGCAAGTAATAAGAAGGTGGAAAAGAGATTGCAGGTTGATCCTGCTACATGAACAATAATGATCTTTAGGGTCTGCTAGAAGGATTGGAGATTGTAGTTAAGCTACTATCTAAGACTTCACGCCAAGGACTTGATGAATTTAAGCTAGCAATGTTTTACTTGATTTGGACATGAACCCTAAGATATCATATTTTGGCATGGCTAGAAGCTTTGGAGGAAACGAGACTGAAGCAAAAGTAAACACACAGAGAGTTGTTGGCACATAGTAAGCTAGATAATGCAATTTTATATAAATGAGTTCATTTTTTTATAACATTTACTCACTATTGGAATAATTATTTGTATTTGACATATTAGTGAAATGAATTATCTTTGTTATTTATGGTATTTTATTTTGAATTATGAGATTTTTAATGTATTATTTAATTTGAAAATTAGTAAATCTATAAATAATGTTTTTTAAACATTTAAAATTATGATATGCAAAAATGTGTGTCATCTTCATTTATGACATGGCCTTTCTTGACAGGGGCTTTCTTGATACGCATTGCGTGTCATTAACACACGCGTCGTAAGGTTACGACACGCGAATGCGTGTTGTCTTTATTTATGACAGGGTCTTCCTTGATACGCATTGCGTGTCTTAAACGCGCATCGTAATTGCGCGTCGTAAATGAGCGTCGTAAATGCGCGTCGTCTCTCTTTATGACAGGGCCTTCCTTGACGCGCATTTGCGCGTCGTCTGAGCCTTTTACGACGCGCAATGAGCGTCGTAAAAGGCTGTTTTTCTAGTAATGGATCATGCTATATTCATCCCTAACATGACTACATCATTGTCTAGGTTTAATTATAGTGTTCAAGTCCCTTCAAAAGATTTTATTAAATATTCTTATGTTGTTACTCTAATATGCACACGCAAGTGTGAAAATTTTGTTTTGTTCAGAGTTTTTTATTCCCATTGTGTTTATAGTTGCATATCATGTATGGTTAGATATGCTAGTTGATTATAAACAATGCTCTGATACCAACCTGTAACACCCCCGAACCAGACAACAAAAACATCCGAGGGCTCGTGTGACTATCAATTGAAATATCATCACAATGAATATACATGAAACATAACATAAAACATCCCCATGCGTTACATAATACAACCGGTATTGTTCACATCAAGTAAATTGTTTCACAATACATAATTCAAAACATAAAAACGAAGATTAACACATCAATATAAAATTCCCAAAATACTCTTGATGATTTCTTCGGCTTAACGATTACTTTAGAATACAAGTTATTTTGCAAATTGTCAACATATATAATGTTGGTGAGTTTATAAGCATGTTTGACTATAAGATTTTGTATTGTTTGTAAAACCCAGAAAATCCGATATTTTCTGTAAATTATATGAAAATGATGAGATGATCAAGTACAAATGTATGTGTGATTTACTTGTAAAAACATGTACAAGAAAGAAATTCAAAAATTCCCTTGTATTGTATCTGTTGTAAGTAGAAGGTAACGAATAATAGTATTGCTTAGAAAATCCGGTATTTTCTGATTTATAAATGTGTTGTAGTCCTTGTATTACCATAAGATTTGTTATCGTGTTATTACGGTTAAAGCATATTGATTCCTATAATGTATCGATAGTAATGAATCTCTACGTGAGTCGTTATAAACATGCATAATAATGACTAAGTTGCCTGTCTTGGCATTTTTCCAAACACCGGTTTTGATCAAGATTTTGTCACCCTAGACTGACCTAGTCTAACTGTAGCGAACAACTCAGGTTAGGGGGAGTCACTCCCATATAGATCTATACACAAACTCTTACTCTCCCTCTAGGAGACTCTAATTATACCTACAGTCTACGACCAAACACTTATTGGTGTCAACCGATAGTTCTCACTAGATCCCAATGATTTATCATGTGAATATGTTTAATGTTAAATGTAGTTTGATTTACTAACACCTAATAATACTTGAATGTGAAATACAAGGCCCAACAAACATGAATAAGGACAACCGTGGCCCGTTGGACATGTATGTTATTTCTAGGCTTGATGGCATGCAAACAGACACGTTGAATCCCATTAAGCATACAATGAATCTCTTTGGAAAAAATTATCATGAAAATGGGCCACTAAGGCCCTATAACATGTAAAACAATTAAATTAGGCCCATTGAGCATGTCATTGGGTCACTAGTAAACATGAATTGAATATATTGGGCCCAATAATCATGCAAACGGATCACGAGGCCCAATAAGCATGTATAGAAAGTATTAGGCCAATATTCGTACGTTTGTTTTAATTATTGTATGTTTGTTGTGGTATAGTGCTTCAAGAAGAAACATTAATTTGTGATGTTGTAAAATATCCAATGTTTGATTTTTAACGATGTATTTTAGTGTGTGTGTGTGTGTGTGTGTGTGTGTGTATATATATATATATATATATATATATATATATATATATATATATATATATATATATATATATATATATAGATCCGGTAAGAAATTGTTTTTAGTAGGAAGGTAAAAAGTTTTTTTTCTATATATTTTTTTAACGAACGAAAAAAATGAATCACTAGATGATTCATTTGTAAGATAATTGACATGAAAAAATTCTCAAAAAACATCTATATGATTCATTTTTAAATAAATTAAGAAAAAATCCACTTTTATGACAATTTTAGTGAATAACAACACAATCATCATATAAATGAATCATCGAGATGTTTTTTTGAGAATTTTTTCTTGTGAAACATCTTTCAAATGAATCATCTAATGATTCATTTTGTTTGTTCGCAAAAAAAATATGTAGAAAAAAAACTTCTTACCTTCCTTCCAAAAATTTCCTTCTTATTTGATCTTGACTCTCTCTCTCTCTCTCTCTATATATATATATATATATATATATATATATATATATATATATACACACACACACCATTTTTTAAATCCCTTATGTTATAAAAATTTATATTTTTTATCCGGTTGTTATTCATTTCCTGTTTTTGGCTCATTTGTTTTTGATAATATTTCATTTTAATCCTTATAAACTCAAAAATTTCACATTTTGGGCCAAAAAACCATAAGGCCCAATTTTTAAACCCATTATGCCATATATTTTATATTTGGTCCTTTAAAAGGGTGATTATCATAAAAACAAAATTTTTAAGCAAATATGGCCTTTTGATCTTTATAAAACCGAAAATGTCACTTTTTGCCCAAGCTTTACTTTACTTGACAAAATGATCCTCATATATGATCCTTTTTTTTTTTTTTTTTTTTTTTTTTTTTTTTTTTGTTTCACTTCATAAGCTTATCGTACACTTTTATATTTGTAGTATGATGACTATTTTGTTTTATTTTATGAATCTCACCCATTTTGGTTAAAGTTTTAGAGATTTGAAGACTTTTACCACATATTCACAACATAAACTAAGAAAATCACACATAACATGTAATATCATATTGATGTACACATAATACTTGTATTCTCGCCTCAAAAAAATGTAAAAACTGAAAACAAGGGGTATGTAATCACGTTTGCATTGTTGCTTTTGTTTTGAAGAAGAAATGGAGAGATTTTTGATACTAGCAAGCTTCTTGAAGAACTTTGAAACTGCGATGGCTCTAAGATGCATGATTCAAAAAATGGTATGAGTTAGGAGGAGATTTTTGAAGAAATCAAAAAGTTAAACCATAAATCTAAGTAAAAACTTACCAAGGATGGTGGTAGAGTTGAAGAATCCTCTTGAAAGCACCCTTAATCTCAAAATTTTTATGGAAGAAGGAGGAGTTTTTGAGAGTATTTTTGAAGTGTTTTGAAATGAGAGAATGAAGGTGGGGTGGTGGTTACCTCGGCCGAGTATAAGAAGAGATGGGAAAGAGAATATTTTCCTGGATATTTGGTGTGTAATAGTCCTCCTAAGAACATGGTGGGTTTGTGCATGGATACCCCCATGCACTAATGAGGTGTCAAGAGCTCAAATTTTCTTCCTTTTTTTGTTTAAATACTTTATGGGCTGAGAATGGGCTATGAGGGAAAGAGGATGAACAAATTTGGGCCTTCACTTGGCTTGTTCGAATTTATGAATCCCAAAAATAAATTTTCGGCCCATTGGCCCTTAGGAAGGTTCACAGCCCACTGTGGTATAAAGGAATGGGTTTATGGCCCATTAGGTCTAATTAATTCATTTATGGCCCAATAAGGATAATTAGGGTTATAATGAATCATTCTAGGCCCAAATGCTCCAAAATGTTATAGATTTATGAATTCGATCCATTTAGAATCTAAATATGGTTTCTAAGCCAAAATTAGTCGAATTGAATGCTTATTGGTCCGTTAGGCTCAATAAGGAAATCCTAATCAATACAGAACTTGAACCAAGATTTTTAGTGATTTCAACTCCCAATTTACTTTCAGAATTGTTTTGCATAGAGTTTTAAATTTCAATTGTAAATGTTGACTAAGGGTGTGTTGTCTTAGAATGAATATAGTGTATAATCTCATGTTAGAACTACGAGTATCATCATGGATGATATTTACATGATCATAGAACTTCTTGGCTAAATTTCCAGTTGTGACATATTTGAGATTAGGTGTAGAAGTGAGTTTGTGCTTCAAATCTGGAACCATTGAGGGTTCCCATGGCATCAAGGTGCCAACTTTATGGCCATGGGAGACCCATGCATCTTGTAGACCTATTTTATGGCTTTTTGAGCTATAGGCCCTATGCATGGACATCAAGTTTGTAGCTTTACGTATAAAATGTACCCTAGGAGGCCAGATCTATGGTTTTGATGCGTTAAGACCCATTATAATCGAATGTATAGTTTTAGATAAAGAGTGACTCGGAGAGTCGTTAATGGGACTCAACGAGTCCGGGTGTATTTTCCACCAAATCATTTCTATTTATGGACCAGATGCTAAGATCACAGGTTCCCCAACTGCATAGGTTCACTAGGGACCTGGAAATCATAGAACTCGCTGGGTGGATGAACACACTCGTCGAGTTCAAGGGAAACTCAGCGAGTCATAG